ATTCTACTCCATTCCCCGCACTGCATGCTTCCTCCTTCTCGGAGAACCCCTACCGTAGTACGTTAGGGTTTAGTGTGTTTAGGGCTTAGGGTTTTTAGTGCGTTTAGGGTTTAGGGTATTTGGGTTTAGGGTGTTTAGGTTTAGGGTGTTTGAGGTGTTTGGGGTTCAGGGTGTTTGGGGTTGATTCTGTTTAGGTTTTAGGGCGTTCAGGATGTTTTGGGTTTAGGGTGTTTAGGGTGTAGGGTGCTTAGGGTTTAGGGTGTTCAGCAAGAGGCCAAAAAACAAGTTGCTAAGCGACCCAGCCCCTTTACCAGCTGGGATGGGTGGTGGGACTTCTCCCTGGTCACTGCTCAAGCTCTCTAGGGTCTTCTCGACTTAACACTTGCGAATATTCCACTACCCTGCCCGCTTTGTTGATTAGGTAGCCCCGGTTCCATGGGTCTAGGAGTCACGATATGGCGAGTCTCCAAAGGCAAGCTTTGACTATCTAGTGGTGTAGGCGTGTGAGGGCATCCCCCAACAGTAGATACTCCTACTGTAACTTCTTGCCAGGAAAGGCAAAGGGTGCAGCTTGGGCGGTCTTACTCCAGGTGATACGCTGGCATGACAAAGAAATGACAGAGAGGGTTGGGACAACACAAGAACCTGATGCCAGGGAGGCTTGAAAAATGTCCCAGACTTGCCGCTTTCTCAAACAACCAATGTCGACGCGAGTTCAGTCTTGCCCGATTGGGTTATAGAAGCAGTGCCTATTGTTTCCAGTCTCTTGGACGGCTCAGGAGGGGCTGAAGTTTTCCTTGTTGGTTGTTGGGGCAGAGGGTGCTAGCAACGGTCCTGAAGGCCTTCCCTGGACTGATGAAACAAGAGGCTTCGAATGCCGGCACAATAAGTACCACGGCGCTGCTGCTTCGTGCATTCCGCAAGTTAGATCAAACTGTGTAGAGGTCTCACTTGAGTGCACAACTTGTGGATCCAAGCTTGAGGTTGAAAGAGGTGATGAAAGAATAAAGACAGCAACCTGATAAGAAGCCGAAGCTAGCCAAGGCTCAAGAGAATTCCTGCCAACCCGATTCGTGGAATAGTTCTTCCCCTCGAAGGGCGGTCAAGACCGTAAGGGCCGTACGACTAAAGCTCTGACGGGCGCGTCCAAGGGAGAATCGTCGTCGCAAGGCGCTTCCAATCCGCAGATGTAGACCTCCGGTTCCCCTCCTTGTAAGGGTTATCTTACTGCGAAGGGTTGTGGGTATGGGATAATTGTAGGATGTGTCATGATTTCGCAGCGGCGGGGTGCCAGGGCTTGCGCTATTCGTGCGGGAGTCTGGAGAATGTTCACCGTAGACCTGATTGAGCTACTGCCTTTTAAGCCCTTCTCCCAATGGCACAGGAAAATCACAGGTGGCAAGACTCTGCCTCCTGCTAAGGCAGCAGCTGCAGGAGCTCCCAGGGCCGTTCCCACAGAAGTGCCGGCGAGTTCTAGTGATGGTATCTCTGCCCCTTCAGCTAAGGCTCACGCCCCTTCCTTATCAAGTGCCGTAGAGCAGGAAGCCCTCAAATGTCAAACTACTCAAAGCGGGTGCGGTTATCCTACATCACCATCACACCCGAAGAAGGTTCCTCTTCTCTGTCAAGGGTCCTTCCAGTTCGGTGCAGTTAAGGGTAGAGAAGTGTTTGGGTTTGGTTGAGGAGTTGGAAGACAGAGTAGTGCATGAGACTGCAGCAGTGTAGGCAGTGCGGAAATTCCATTGACGCCGGCGAAGGATAGGGAGATAGGGCCGGAAGGGTTTCCCCAGGGATGCAAGGTAGTGCCAGAAGAGCCTTGCATTGAGAGTGAAGTAGGACCAGGTCGGGCGGAGCTTTGAGATCAGAGTACTTGCCGTTGAGAGCTTAGGCTGTTTAGTGGGTATTGGTTTCAGATTCAGGTGCCACCCACTTATTCTGTAGGTCTTCTTCGGAAGCACACTTTGAAGCAGAAAGTGGCTGATGTGTGCTTTCTGACTATGCAAATACGAAGAGGACAACCTCCGGGTCCCGACTTTCATAAGGCCATAGAGCTGTCAGGTATGCTGAAGGCCCAGAGTTTGGCATCCCAGACAGGGCTTGCTTTCGGCGAGCGAGCCCCGGTCAACGGGTCAAAGAGCAGAGCATGACCTTTAGGGAGTCAAAATTTGACATCGCGCGTGCGTTGTTGCCTTGCCAGCTCCAGACGGGCAGCAACCCCCAAAAGGGAGGAGACTCGCGGGATAAGGGGATTGTGCGTTTGACCACGATCACAGGGGGAGTATGATTCGTGCGACTTAGATGCATGACCCCTGGCAAAAATGATGGCACTCAGCTATGACGTCCTTATGCATTTTTGTTGATCAAGCCTGGTGTCTGCGCTCAGGACTGAAGACCGAAGGGGGTGGTGGTGGTTTAGGAAATGGTTGTAAAACCCCCTCATTGGCCACTGAATCTGGTGCAAGAGATCAGCACATTGGTCTGGCTGGTCCGGATTGTGAAGTGTCGTGGATCAGTCTATGCCTCTATGCTGCAGAGATCAGCACACTGGGTTCACGATTAAGGCCTGGCCTTTGGGACCTCCACAGCCGTCTCGCGAACCAGGCTCACAGGTACAGGTACAACCTGCCGAGATGGCAAGCGGCAAGGTCAACTCAGGCTCTAGATGAATAGATAGTACGGTCCAGAACCACAAGGATTCAACGACATTCTTGAAGCCTGGTGCGGCTGACTGCCCGACCTGAGTACCTATCAAACGCTTGATCCTTCACCAGCGAAGACCTCGTCCTTTCAACATCTCTCACAACCCTCTTTGGACGAAGCTTCTGCCGTTTGGCATGATAGAACAGTGCCTAATGTTAGTGAATTCTGGTGCTAGTGCTTGAAGAAGCAGGATACCTGCAAATCCCTGCTTCATGCGAAATCTCTGCCTAAACAAGAATACAGATCTAGCTCATTTCATGCTGCTTGCGCGCGCTTCTTCTTCCTTAGGTTCTGCACATGTACCGTGCGAGCTCATGACCCTTTATTCTGACGTGCGTCATTGAATACCCTCAGTACATTCCTCAAGCCTTCTCCACGACTTTGGTTTCCACAATCCTGGCTCGTTTCAACAAGGAATAGTTCAGAAAACTTGTACGGCAAGAAGAGAAAACAAGTCTGGAGGCGCTTTGGAACTTGCTTCTGTACCACTTGCTTCTGATAGCTGGGCACCTGTACAAATCTCCATATTGCACATGCATGGCAGAGAAACACGTGAACTGTACAGCCTGGTAGCTTAGTCCTTAACAGTAGTACATGAAATCCGTCGCCTCCTTCACAGCTTGAGCCACTTGCACTTGAGGCACATGCCGCAATCGCTCTTCATAAAAGACCTGCCACCAAGGGCAACTTCTACCTATGTCGACAACCGCAGGCACTTCCACGGATGAACCTGCGGCACTTCCACGATTCTCTCCTCGGCTTGCAGGATCACCTTCGGCACCTCAGCAAGACATAGCTGCCTGAGCTAGCTCATGGCACACAAGTTGTTTTGCCATATTTGTGTGTGCGTTTAGCTTGCTTCGTGCGTTTTCGATTTTTGGGTCTTTCATGTTTGCTTCTCAGGATAAAGCAAAATGCACAGCCTGCAAGTGCTGAAAGCTGCAGGGGCTTGGAGATGCAGCATTTGCGTCGAATTGCTGAATCCACATCCTGCAAAACTGCAATTCGAGCCAGATTCCTTCAGGAATGTTCTGAAGGGTTGGATGCATTGCAAGGCTGTTCTTACACCAGGTTATTGCCCTAAGCAGGTTCCAAGCTGCGATTTTTGACTGCTATAGCATGCAGCAACGGCAAGAAAAAACAGAAAAGCTTACATATCGTGGCAGCATGATAGTTAATCTGTACTCAAGTCTATACACCAGCGCTGTTTGCATGGCAAATTTCTTGATGACTGCATATCATCCGGTACATCGATGGGTGGTTATAAGCCCCGTAAACACTGCACCCACCCACCAAAAAAAAAGAACTTGTTCACAAGCCCTCCATAGGAAACGTTTAATGACAATCATGCTCATATGAAAAGCCACTTTCAATGTTAATTTGAATCAAGGCGAAGCTTCCGTCAGAGCTTCGGTAAGAGCAACTTTCGACGCTTCCGTTGAAAACGTTAGCACAGCTTCTGTTCACGACATCCATTCAGACTCCTATTGAACTATAGAAGCTTTTCGTTATTCTGCCAACGATGATGCCAGACCCCGAGATGGTAGCCCCAGCCACGCCATCCTCTGCCTGTTGACGTCCTGGGCACGCGACGAAAACATGCAACGTGCAAAAGCAACAACAGGTATGCGACCGGACCATGAACCACGCGATCCCTGTGATTGTTGACGCGTTTCGGCACGTAAGAACATGTCAACGTCCAGAAACATCTACAGCGACGAGGATGGGGCCCTGATCACGCGATCCGCGAGATATTTGATACTTGAGGGGCGGGGCAGGCCAACGAAAGCTAAGCGGGGTTCGGCGAAGTTGTTAGACTCTAGAGCGGAACCACGTCAAGGCAGCTGTGCCAGGCTGGTGGAAGGCAAGGCTTGTGGGAATGCAGGGTCGCTTGAAACTTGCAGGGGTTGAGTCCAACAGCCAAACTCGCAAAAACTCGTTTTTTCTCTCAAGCTGAAAAA